GGAAAGAAACCTATTTGGTTTATTTGCTCCCCCGTGCTGCCCTCTTGAGCTCAGCTTGGGCAGCAGTTTATCCCAGCAGTTTTTCCCCAGCAGTTTTCCCCAGCAGTTTATCCCAGCAGTTTTCCCAGCAGTTTTCCCCCACCAGTTTCCCCCCACCAGTTTCCCCCCCACCAGTTTCCCCCACCAGTTTCCCCCCAACCCCAGGTCACCACGCTCCAGCAGGAGCACACGACAGAAAACAGCATCTCCCACCTGCTGCTCAGGCTGCTCGGCGTCCTCAGCGTTTCCAAGTGTCTTTGGGAGGGTTTGATGCTGGAAAACAAACAAACAAACAAATAAATTGCCCTCCGTGCAGTTCTCACCCCTTTTTTTTGCCCCCTCCCCTAGAAATTGTGCGGGCGATGACGCACGTGATCAACCAAGGCATGGCCATGTACTGGGGAACGTCCCGCTGGAGCGCCATGGAGATCATGGTAAGGTGCCCTGGGGAGGCCACTCTGAAGCTTCAGGGAGCTGACAATTCTGCTGCTGGGTCTGCTGAGAGCCACCCTGGGACCTGAACCACACCTGTGTGCCTGGGCTGGAGGCGTTTTGTGTTTTGCTCCCTCCAGCGCCTTTTCGCCTGCAATAGTTTTATAAACCTGTTCTGGAAGGAGCACGATGTTAATTAGGAGAGGATGGGCTGGTCTAATGGTTTGGGTGTCTTGGCTCGTTTAATTGGGGACTGTTTCATTTTGGTTTTTCGTGGCTGACTCCAAGACTCTTGGTGTGCTATCCATGCTTGTGGCCACTGATGCCCTATTGAAGATGTGGCCCTTGGCAGCAGCTTCATGGGAGCCGGGACAGGCTCATCCTTAATGCTCTGTCAGGGCATTTCTTGTTGCCCAGAGAGGTGGTAGAAACCTCATCCCTGGAATGAGGGATGGTTGAAGGGGCTCTGAGAACCTGCCCTGGCTGAAGTTGTCCCTAAGATGTGCGTGGCCTTGCTAAGGGACAACAAAACTCCAGCAGTGTTGGCTGGGAGGTTATGTCCTCCAAGATGCTTTTACTGAAGTGTCTTCTCTACTGATTTCTTCTCTCCAGGAAGCCTACTCTGTTGCCAGGCAGTTCAACATGATCCCACCCGTGTGTGAACAAGCTGAATACCACCTCTTCCAGAGAGAGAAAGTGGAGGTTCAGCTGCCAGAGTTGTATCACAAAATTGGTGAGTCTGAGGAGCAGGCTGAGAGGGGATGGGTGGGAGCTGGTGCCCCTGCCAGGAAGAGCCAACACAGGAGGGAAAGCCATGGTGTGAGACAGGGTGGGTGTAGGAGGTACCTGGGCAGGAGCTGAGGTACTTGGCTGCAGCAGGGGCCAGGAGGGGGCTGGAGGTGCCCTCACCATAAGGTCTGGGATGAATAAGCTTCTCAGTGTCTTCCAGGAAGATGCTGCTGATGCCCTTGAGGGCACTGACTGAACATGACTGCCAGCAGCAATAGAAACAAGCAGCAATAGAAACAAGCTGCAATAGAAACAAGCTGCAATAGAAACAAGCTGCAATTGCTTTGCTTCTGTTTTTTTTTTAATGGTAAGGCCTATTTTGGGTACAGCTCTGATTCCTCCCAGTCCCCTAACAGCTCCTTCTCTGTGCTCTCTGCAGGGGTTGGAGCAATGACGTGGTCCCCCCTTGCCTGTGGGATCATCTCAGGGAAATATGGCAACGGGGTCCCCGAAAGCTCAAGGGCTGCCCTGAAGGTATTTTTGTTGTTGTTGCATGTTTGAGAAAAGTAGCTGTGCTGCTTCTGTGAGGGCAGGGAAATGGCAAAGGGGACCCAGGTCCCTGGTGTGAAGGCTGGGCTGTGTGCTGCTGTGTCAGTGCACCAGCTCCGTTTCTCTGGCAACCACACTCTGAAGTGCAGGAGAATCTGGGTTAGAAAGGTGCTCAGGTTCCCCACCACTGTAAGCTGGGTTAGCTCGAGCTGGTTTAACTGGTTCAGCACTGCAGGGTCACCGCAGCACTTGGTTTCTCCCATTATTATCCTGATCTTATTCTTATTGGGGGTTGTGGGGTCTCCTCCCACATTGTGCCTGTGGGACGTGTATTATCTAATGGTTTGAAAATCATGACGAGCGGTTAAAATGTCACAGATTTGGGAAAAACCCCAACAAAAAGGGTATTTAAGCCCCTGTATCAGCTGATGGGCAGAAGGCAGTGCTGCCTGACAAGTGCCAGCAGGCTGGCATATGGCCCTGTGCTGGTTTTTGCCCAGCTTGGTGCTCTTTAAAGGAAAGATGCAGTCTGCACTGACTTGCTTACAGAGGGGGCATTTAATTGCACGTGTGATTTCCCCCCCTCCCCAAAGAAGATATATTATTAAGATTAGGTAAAAGCTAGATAAGCAGGTAGCACTGCAAAGAGGGACCCAAATTGAATCGATGAGGATGAAGCAGAATTAAGTTTCAAGTCTGGAGCTGAGAGAACTGAAATCTCAGCTTCATTTAATTAATTTTCACATCTTAAACAGCCTAATGAAGCTTGAGCAAGATCAGTTGTTCTCTATTTTATTTTATTTTTAGGGGGGGGCAGGTGTCATAATCTTCCCAAGTTGACTCAATACTTCACTTTTTTGTGCTCTGTGATGGGATCCAGTGGTCCAAAAATAAAACTGTTCCAGATCAAGCCCACCAGTTGTGTAAAGCCAGAGAGATGCAGACATGGGCTCTCACAGGAGACCTCCTGGTCCTGCTGCAACTACTTCAGGTAGCGAAGGGCTGTGTTCCCAGCTTCTGTTACCTGGACGTGGCATTCCAAGAGCTGCTTAGAATTGCTTTAAACTTCCCATGGTGGAAGCCTAAAGATCTTGTTGTTCACCTCCAGTGCTACCAGTGGCTGAAAGAGAAGATCATCAGCGAGGAGGGCAGGAAGCAGCAGGTGAAGCTGAAGGACCTGTCGCCCATCGCCGAGCGCCTGGGGTGCACGCTGCCACAGCTGGCTGTTGGTAGGTGACAGGGGACAAACCTCCCTGTGCCCTGGGCTCTTGTCACAAACCATTCCAGGGCCTCCAGCCTTGAGTTGTTGGTTGGTTTTTTTTTTATAGTCACAGTTATCTCGGCACTGCTGAGAGCCAAGGCTGAAAAATACCACCCGTGTCTGTTAGAAAAATGATCCGTGGCTCCAAGAGCCAAGAGGGGAAGCCCTGCCATTTGTGGTAGGGAAAACTAAGCCCTGTAATTAAGACAAATAATGACAATAAATTGCCAGGGACCGGGGTCAGACTGAATGCTGGAAGATCTGCTCTATGGTTTATCTGACCGGTGCATCTTCTCCCTGGTAGTGCTGGAGGAATAAAGTGAAGGTTCAGACAAATAATGTTGTAATTAATTTTCAACTAGAGATAGAGGCTCTGGAAAACACTGGGCTCTGGAGTAATGCCCTGTGGTGAAGCCCACGTTCCTGACCATCTTGTGACTTATTTTCCCAGCCTGGTGCCTGAGAAATGAGGGGGTGAGCTCCGTCCTCCTAGGATCTTCCAACCCTGAGCAGCTGATAGAGAACCTTGGAGCCATACAGGCAAGTGCAGGTGGTGGGGGCACCTCAGCAGTGGTGGGGGGTGGGTGCTGCCCAGCTCTCTGGGGGGCAACACCAGCATCTTTTGAGACTAGCACCTGCCTACTCTTTCTTTAGTTTTAGTACTTTGCATTTTGTTTAGGCACCTTCCAGTTCTCATTCTGCACATTGATTAAGCAGATCTCTGATGTGTCACCAGGACTGACCACCCTCTGTGCCAGTTAGATCAGCAACAAGGGAGCAGCATCAGCAGGTTTAGTGGGTCTGAAAAAGCAAGTGACCTGATTCCAGGACATGATGTGATATATTCTGTGCCAAGTCTCCCGCAGGGCACGTGTCCCTTGCACCCACCTTCATTGTTATTCTCTGTTGCTTTTCACAAACAAGAGCTTCCTCTGATGCTCTTGCCTCCAGCTCCCTGCCCACAGCAGCTGAGCAATATTGTGCAGGTGAAGCTCAGGAGCACTTCTGTGATTCTCTCACTGGGCAAAGACACTGTGGTAGTTTTTCCTTTAAGTGAGAAACGTGTTAGATGAATGTCTAAATATCTGTCACCCAGAGAACCCAGAGGTAGTGTTACCTGGTAAGACCCAGGATTAAATTTGGAAAAAAAACTTCCCTGGCAGCTTGATTCAACAAGTTTTCCTCTGCCCTCAGGTCCTCCCAAAGATGACATCCCATATTGTAAACGAAATAGATAATATTCTGGGCAACAAGCCCTACAGCAAGAAGGACTACAGGTCATAAGGTGATGCATGATTCCCTGGACTGCATGGTTTAACCAGTGCTCTGCACTGAGGTACAGCCCCGAGTCAATATCCAGCCTTCAGAATCATTCAGCTGCTCGGTGTCTGCTCTCACTGGAGCCTTCCAGCTGTGTGCTCTGGCTACTAATCTGCAGTGAAATTTAAAAGCACAGGTTGGTCTCTCTTCTAACCAAGAATAATCTTGTATTTTCTTACCTTCGACTGGATTCATTAATTTTTACTTTCCTCTTAGCACCTCATGCTTGTGCTGTGAAAAACACTTGTAAAGCAAAAAAATGATTTCTAACCTTCAGGTACTTGGTAATTAAAGAAGGATGTACAGATCTATTTTTTCAATGAAGAAAAGCCAGATACAACTTAAGGTTTTAATAAAACCACATTTGGGAAATCCCAACTATGAAGTTTCTTCAGGTTAACAGATAGAAGGGGCAAGCTCAACTTCTCTGTTGGTTGTTTCCCTTTTTTTGTGCTGAATGTATGATCTAGATTTTGTTTGCTGTTGAGTAAAGGATGTAGGACAGAGAATTGGTTAGAAATTAGATAGCTCAGCTCCTAACTCTACAATTATTTCAGCTGTGGAGTGCTCCTGGGAAGTATTTCTGGGTACAGGCCAGAAGAGCACTGTTAGAAACACCAAACGTGCATGTCAGGTTAATAAAAACAATGCAAAATCCTAATTCTACAGAAACCTTAAATCAAGAAAGCCATGTTAAAAATACAGGTTTTTGCATCTGTAGAAACCTGCCTCTACTTCTGCCTGCTTGTAGACATAGCTAATGCAAATTTCAATACTCCTGAGCTTTTAAGGATATAGATATTTATATATAATGTATAGCTACTAACAAATACCAGGAAAAACCAGGTATGTACTTTGGTGGAAGGTCACCTTTGCTTTAACTTGTTCTGGAACTGGGCGTAAGTAAACACATGGTGTTTTTCAGACACATTGTAGGGTTTTTGTGAGCACTTCATCCCTCTGACAGTGAGCACTTCTCTATTAGTTTGCCCATCTCAAGAACCAAGCCACGTTTTCCTGTGAGTTTGCTTTGTAAAATGCTCTGAGGATTTCAGTAGTTCTCACTTGTATGGAACCGTGTCCTTTGGCACATGCTTCCCAGGGGTAGGACCCTTAGACCCCAGTCCCCTTGGCTCCAGGCTATCTGCAGAGCTTGTGCTGCCTTCAGGGGCCAGGGGATCAGATCCTGGTCCTTGAGTTGTCTCCTCCTGTATTTAATCCCCTGAGCTGTGGTACCTGTAACTGAACCTTGCTGCTGTACGTCCAGACGTGCTGACTCTGATTTCTGCTTGGACTCAATAAAAGCATTTTGTGCATCCATTTCACACCTAGAGCCCTGTTACTGACCTCAAAACAGCAACAGTTTGTGTTAAAAATGGAGATGTGTTTTTTTTTTTTTCACAGGGAAACATCTGCAGCTGAACCAGGGCTGGGCAGGGGACAGAGCCCTGGGGCTGGGCTGGCTCTGACAGGAGCTCCTCCAAGTCAAGTCTCCTGAGGCAAACTCTGTCCTGTACAATATCTGGGCCTGAACAGGGTGAACGTCCCCTGGACAGTTCACTGAAATGCCACCAGTTGTCACCAGCCTCTCCAGAAGCCCAGTCCCACCTTGCTGAGGTGCAAACCAGCACTGACTCCCTGCTCTGGGCTGTGTCCCCCAGTGTTGCACGTTTCACCCTGAAAATTAGCTAAGCATTTCAAACTCTGCTTCTTGGGCAGCACAAAAGGCTCTGCCCATTATGCAGCTTTTAACAGCATAATTACCTTCCCAGCAGCAAACTGGTTCCTTTTCTTACCTCCAGAGGTACCATTTGATGCTTTCTCCTTCTCACATACATGGGAATCCAAAAATGTATTGAAAATCTATTCCAAATCTTTTCTTCTTTCATGAAAAGGAAATGGCTTTGTCCCTCACTTTGAGCAAAAGCTCTGAGGGCACTGGGATAGCAGGCAGTACCCTGCCTGCAGGCTGACCTGGCTCTGACCAGGGAGAGAAGTTGGCCAGAAAGGTGTGTTGTCTGTGAGCTAAATACTTAGAGTGCAACAGATACAGATGATTTCGTTTATATGTGGCAGGCTAAGGACAGTAGAATTATGCCAACAAAATGGAAAGGCTCCTTTCAGCAGCAAAAAAGCAGGCAGAGGCCATAAAGATCCACTTATTCTGAGGGGAAAAAAAAAGTTAACACTCTTCAAATTAAATAATGCCAGTAAAATGAGCAGATTTTTTTTACTTTCAACTTTAGAGATGAATAAAACAAAAAACAAGCCAAGCCAATGCAGTGTGTTCAAACCACTTCAGAAACATTTTTCTGGCAGGTTTAGGTTTTGTCCTGACTGCAAGTTACTTCAACATGAGGGGGGGTGTCCAGTGAAAAGAGTGCACGTGTTGGCAGCAAAAGAGGTGACAAACCTGCACCCCCTGACTGCCCATCCACATACCCTTCACAAAATTAACAATGAAGAGACAAGGAATTAAATGACCAAAAAAAAAAGCCTCCTTTTTATTAAGACTTGTAAAGTTACAATGATAAATGGTGGATTGTCACTTTTGCTGACCAGTGAGGTTGGTTCTTGCAGGTGCTGCTGTGTCACCTGTGGGACAGTGGGACAGTCCCACCCACACCCTGCTGCTGAGGTGATGTTTGGTAACAGGTAGAACAAAAACCAACAGTGACTGAGCAACACCACATAAGGCTACCAAAGTAAATACAATCCACTCATTTTGGATGCCAGCCCTCCCCCAGACCCTCAAGCAGTCATGCTGTAAAAAAGAATCCACTCATTTTGGATGCCAGCCCTCCCCCCAGACCCTCAAGCAGTCATGCTATAAAAAAAATAATAATTGTATTCTTATTCCACCCTTAACCTGTTTGGCAGTTAAACCCTCCCAGAGATATAAATTGGTGGGGGTTTTGTTTGTTTTTTTCTTTACTTGGATCCTGTAGATAGCAGAGCAATCAGTCCAGATGAAGCACTTATAGAAAGAATATAGTTTCTGTAGGGAGAAGGTTAAGGACATGTACTTGTGAAGGTGCCACTTCCTTTGCACAGAACATTTAGCAGAAGTTTTTTGAAACACAAGGTTTGAACTGGTTCCCCCTCTGTAGGAGTTTTAAAATTTTAACATCATAACCTGAAATGCTGCTTACAGTGGAGGCCTTAGCAGGGTGCTGAAATGCACTTCACAAGCCAGGCACCCATGAAGTTCAGCCAGTTCTATTAAATTAAACAGTTAATTAGCACATGCAGCCCTCAGCAGCAGCTTAACAAAAAGATCAGTGTTTCTAAGCTACACATATCAGAGCAATCTCACAACCCAGGTGACAAAGACAGCTACTAATGACAACCAACAGGAGCAGGACTCTGTTCCAAGTGTGGTGACAAAGGATACACAGTGGGGTTGAAGTTCTTCAGCACAAAAAATGAAGCAATGATGACCAAGACCAGAAAGAGAGTATTGTTGTAGAAGATGGAAAAAGTTGTTGCTTCATAATCTGCGACTTCGTTTTTCTTCCACAGAATTCTAGGAATGAGCAGGACAGTTATTTTGGGCACACTGACACCCTGGCACACCCAGCAGGGGCTGACACCCTGCAGCAAACCCCCTGGTGCTGCTGTTGCTACAGCCAGCTGCTGAGGGAGAGTGCAGAACAGCCAGACAACCCATCAGTACAGACAGAGCCCTGCACATACTGTGCACCTGTACCCTAAAGTGAGGCTTGTTTTCCCACCAGGCACATCAAACCCACCCCTTTATAAATAACATTTTGAGCCTGAATGGGTCAGGTGCCACCAGGGAGCTTGGCAACTAGAAGACAGGGCTTTCTGCTCCAGAGAGTTGACAGCTCATGTCCTTGTGTCTTGTACACAATGGGCATGGACTCTAATCCAAGGTGCTTCCTGACACACCAGGCACAGCCTGGCTATTAGTATGAATGGAAATCCAAGTACTGACAGGGGCCAGGAGCTCCAGGGCTGAGAGGTTACCAGGCAGCATTACAGGAGGGGAGGGAAAGAAGAGGGTTACCTTTCATCCTTCTCCTTCCGAGACATCTTCCTGTTGTCTGCCTCGGACAGCTTGCGAGTCACCTCCTTGGAAACAGCATCCTCCCTCTTCTGGGCTACTCTGGAAGGAACACCATGGATGGCAGAGGGGGAAAAGGAAAGAAAAACCCAACCCTGGGATTAGAAGAAGTTGTGTTTACAGTGGGGAATAAAACTTTGCCAAGGCACTGAATGGTTTTCCCAAGTCAAAGGGAAAACAAGAGATAAATTACTAAAAATATGAGTCTAGTGCAGCTCACAGGAACATCAAGGTAGTTTTGCTATTTCATCCTGCTCTAATCTTGCCAGCTAAGTCTATTTCATCACTACAAGAGGAGTGACAGAACCCAGGGAGGAGATGCTTCCCCGTGTAACAGGTTTCACAGCAACATTTCAGACGTTCTTATTAATAAAAATTAAAAAGCTGCGAGTGTTTTATTCCACAATTGAATAACAGATCCCACTTGCAAACAAACAGCCACCCAGCTCACTTGTGTTTGAGGACAAACTTGACGTTCTTGTAGGCAAAAGCCACTAGGTAGGTGCTGACCAGGGTCATCACGCTGTACAGGACCGCGGACTGGACGAGATCCATGTGCCAGATCCTCCAGTACAGCCCTGGGGAGAGGGAAAAGGAAGGAAAACACGACATATGGAGCGGCAGGGCTGCCCAGGGGATCCCTGCCCGGCTCC